TATTTACTTTGATTTCCTAACTAGTTTACGTCAGATTCTTGTAACGCTTCGTTAAACTTCTATACTTAATCAGAGCTCTCTCTCTCTCTCAAAGTTCTGGCATTTACTACACGAATAAGAAGAAATATGTTAAACTTTTTAAAGCTGTGCTTTTCGCGACTTATATTTCACTACATATTATACTTACATAAAAATATTTTCTTAACATGCAACATACGCAAAATTTAATATTTTTTTTTGTAACATTATTTTAATAATAATGTTAAAATTATTTTAATAATAGATAAAACATAATTTTTTTTATTTATCCACGATAATTAAATAATAAGAAATAGAAATTTTTGTTATTTGACTATTTGTCTTTCTTCATCTATTTTTATGATCTTTATTACATATGATCTGGCTTTTATTTTACAAAAACTTAACATTTTTCCAAATATTTTTATATAAGTTAAGTGATTAATTATTGAAATTATTCTATCTAGAATTAAAATTGCTTATTATATGCTTATTATAAATTATATTAGTATAAATCAGTTCCTGGAACTTCGCACAAGCTTTAAAAACGCTCGTTTCAACAAATTTTTAATTTTAATTTTAAGTTTAATTGAACTTAAAAACCGTTGCTAGACTAGCTAAGCTAAGAATAACTAATATAACATGATTATATAAAGTATAAAGATTCTCTCTTCGATGTTATAAACTTATAGAGTGAGTTGTCTAAGTAAAATCGAGCTGTACTTGAGATCCGTTATTAATTGGTTCAGTCTGCAGCGGTAGAAATTGATACGCGAAGTAAGAAATTATACATTTTAGCACTTTCAGGAAAATGTTTTATCTAATATAAACAAAACTTTTTAAATAAACAGACAATATTTAATGTTTTGAATGTATTTAACGTGTCCCAACACGTATCAATTTTAATTATACTTTTCTAGATTTCTTGACAGAAATGGATTCAAGTCTCTTTTATAAAATATTTTGAAGAATATTATTTTTTTTTATTGTTGATTTTTGGTGTTCGAGTATATAAAATGGTGCCGTTATTAGCACCACAATGGCTAATAATACATTCTAAAGATTGCATTCAGTGCCAACAATGGCATCAATAATGGCACTGAATGCACAATCTTTAGAATTTATTATTAGCTATTACGAGCATATAAATATCCAAATAAATAATAAAACGGTATTGCGGTTAAGACGTCAACGTTTCGTTATGACAGCAATTAAATGGATAACGCTACAGTTAGCTGGTAAGAAATTGCAATAAGTTTCCGATGTGTTTGCGCGAGAGAATCCTTAAGAAATTTATTTCCCGAAGATTGTAGTTGTAAATGTATATTTTTAATGTAGTTGTAAATATATATATTTAACGTCGTGAGTATTTCTTTCCAGTCTCATCAATTCTCGTCAAGCACACAGAACAATATGGAATATATATATAATACAAAAATAGATACGTTTTTGTAGAATATCCATAATAGACAATATAATATACTTTTCTTATGTCCAATCTCATTTCTTTCCCATGTTTTTTTAATTAAAAGATTTGTGTTCTAAAAAAATCAAATCAATATATAAGACTATAGATATAAGATCTTTTATATAATTATTTAATTAATTTATGAATATATTTTATCAATATGTAATTAATCTATGAAATATTTATCTACCAAAATATTTAATTGTTTTATTTAATAAAAAAATGTAAATACTTGTCGTATGGCGCCTTGGAAACTTGACGATCGATATTTCGTAACAGTTTCTTCATATTTATCGTGTTTTATTAATTACAAATAAATAACTTGATCAGTTACTTTATTATCTTCCAATTTTTCGATAAAATATAATTCACAGTAGGTAATTGGTTCCAATTTTACCAACATCTTCACTCCATGCGAAAGTTTCCGACCTTTGAAGGTTCTTTTATTTTAATCTATTATTAAATTATGCAAAGAAATTCCTATGTATCAAATCATAAAGCTATAGAGAAAATAAAATTATTTGTAAATGAATACAAACACATTTTATTTTGAAACTTAATTTGATTAGTTAATAAAGTACTTAATAATAAAAGAAGTCAACTTTTATAAAGTAAAGATAGTGCTCTATCAAATTTTTGCCAATAAAAGATCAACTCAATAATAAGAATAGTTTTTGCATAACCTGTGTACGAATTTTATCAAAATGAAACTGATTGTGAGATTATTAATACTTTACGTTTTTCGCTATTTTTAAAATTATGGGTCTGTTTTTTATTGCTGAACTGGCTGCACTAGTTCAGTAATAGAAAAGACTCTATATGATGCAGAAATACTATTTTTTTCGTGCCATGAGATTCTTCTTTTTTTTTCTCTTTTTCGTATAGTTAAAACCATAACGCATAACATCATTCCTTATACTGAAGGGCTGCTACAGCATCTCGGTATCGACAGGCTCCTTGTATTCAGTGTATCAGAAGTAGGGTGAATACCCGGATAAGTCTCGACAAGTGGTTGGCGCGCTGCCATGTTCCATTCGATAAAGCAGTTCCGCAAAAGCGCAACGTATATCACATGTGAAATGTTTCAACATTCCAAATTCGTTTTTAGTACAAAAAAGTAATTACAGATTTTTCGAACAGTTAGTGTAACAATTCCATGCAATAAACGCATTTTTCCGAAATACCATCAAATGTTAAATTTGAGTGGGCGAAATAATAGCACTGCCATGAAATGCGAAACTTACGCCGCTATACAAAATGCAAGGCGGCGACCCTCGTTTCATTTTTAGATTGGCCCAGTCTTCTTTTTATTGCTATATTTACCCACTCTGTCTATTCTAAGCAACAAAGAGGCAGAAAATGTACATCTTCACATGACTGCGGAAATACGACGATTGATACAAGTTAGACATGTTACACTTATAGACATTACATTTAATTAAATAGAAGCTTTATTAGAAACGTGAATTTAATATTAAATAAATGAAAGTTTTATGCAAGATTAAAAGAATTTCTTTTGCATTTAAGAACTATATAATATTTAAGATAAAAAAAAACAATTTATAACTTATATCATAAATTGAATATTATTAAAATAATATGTACGATCAAAACATATAGATAAGTATAATAATTATTTTATATATCTCTTTTTTAAGGTGATATTTCTTTTAGGGGAATGCATTATATAAATAAGAAATTACAAAATATATAATATCTAAGTCATGAATAAATTAATTTTACGTATTCGAAATACACGTGTCATTTTTGAAGCACAAAGAACGTAGCACGCGTTGATGCCAAATTCTGAGTTGCAAATAGTATATAAATATCGTGGGATGAATACGATATATTTATAAGATTTGATGATTTTATTGTTTACAGATGCATTAAATTAACTTCTCAATTGAAGTAATATTTGATGATCTCTAGCTGAGATATAATCTCCATACAGTATTATTATTATTTATCAATAAAAAGAAAGGATTATTAAAAAAGGTTATTTTTAATCAAAGAAATTAATTGTCAAAGAAATCAATTAATATGAAATTAATTTGATGAATCGCATAAATCCGTACAGATTTGCTTATCAATTAATGAAGTAATAATGGCATGTTATCAATCCGATACGATTCTAAATAATTATAATGTAATTCAAACTACAGGCATTTTTAGTAACATCAATTTTATCTAATTTTTATCTAATTTTTTAAGTTCTTAGCGCAATCAAACTTGCTTTATCGAACTAAAATGTTTCTGTCGAAGAAAACTCATTTATATGGATGATTGCAAACAAAGATTACAAATAAAGTATCACATATATTTTCTCAAAAGTTTTGACATCATAGTATGTGTGTGTGTGTCAACATAGTTTTATAGTCCGAAATATTGCTAATATATTGAGGATTCTTAATTTTATTGTTGAAAGATGCAATGGAAAAATAAACTTTCTTGCTCCAATACATGATATATCGCAATATGTTGATATATATACGTATAAACGTTAATGTATATGAGTATAAAAGTATTAAATCAAGCATAAGTGCTTGTGCTTGATTTAATACTTTCGTACTCTTGTGCAATTTCGTATGTATTTATTCAGAACGCTAGGTAATATCTCATACGTAATTAACGTTTCGTGTGCCGCCCACGTGTGAATCCTCGTTTCTGCCACAACGTTCTATTAAGCCACAGAATTTGAAACATCCGCTTATTGACAGGAATGTAGGATACGATAACAATCAAACGATATATCGACAATAGTTACCACATAAAATAGTAGCCTCCAAATAAATTATATATGTATATATATAATTTAACTAAGAGATATATATGTCATAATAGATGTAAGATACAGAACTTATTCTCAATGAATTATTGTAAAAGTACATCTTATTGATAAATTAATCCCCTGACTTAATGGATGATTGAGTTAAAATTATAATAATCGGCAAAAGAATAAACTCAAAATTGAGAATTACTACATCAGCACAAGTGTTATTTCGTGCGTTCGTCATTATACTTATACGATACTCCGTCACTGTTTGAACATCAGGCTCGAGGTATTGCACGACGCGACATCATTATCGATAAGAGTAGCACAACTTTCTGGAAGACGAAAGAAGAAGTGAAGGATCGACTTACTCGGTCTATCGTTGTCGGCGTCCTCCTTACCACAGGGGTACGACTGCCGTTGTGAATGATGGTGCTTATGGTGCCGGCGGTGTCTCCTTTCCCCTGGCAAATGCACGCCCACATACACCGTGTGCGCTCTGTGACCTGGAAGCAGATGAAAGGGATGCCCGTCACACACAGTGCCTCCGCAACTCGCCAATCTCTCACCATGGGGAAGATGCGCGGGATTTAGAGCAATTCTCCCTGATGAAAATGCACGCAATACACAGGCTTTTCTTTCGCCACACGAAAGGAAATTAGCATCATTTAATCGCGTGATCCTGAAAAGGTGCCCATGCGAGACAACTAGATCTTACTAAGTGTGAAAAGATTCTCCAGGTGTGTCTTTCCAGATAGGGATAATTTACGCGTGGGCTATAGTTTGAACGGAACATCGCGTGCTAAGATATGAGTCCACACATAGGTGATAGCTGTGTTTCAAGTCCGATAAAAAATCGACGCGCAGTTTATTAAGTTGGAATATATATACATATATGTGTATTATATACACGGTAATTTGTTACTTATTAATTTCTTTATTTGCGCACCACGTACCGCGCCTGACTCGCATTCGCCGTTGATTAATTTGTTAAAATAATAATTTTTTTTTTAATGTGAAACAAGTCATTTTGATCCCCTTGGCAGCTCTAGTGTTAATAATATTAGCAACCTTTTAGCACACGGAAAGAACAGTTTTGCTGAAGTATTTAAAAATTTTGCTAGATACAGATCTGAAAATAATTTTGTTGCACCATTAAAATAATTATAGTATAAGTTGAAGTATAATAATAATGCTGTAAAAAATTTTGACATTTAGCAATCAGTTTGAGTATTCTACATAATTATTTTAATAGTCCAACAAAGTTATTTTCAAATCTGTATCTAGCTAAATTTTTAAATAGTCCAGCAAAACCATTCTTTCCGTGGACAATATATAATTCACAAAGATAATTATGTGCTATCTCAATCTCATCATTTTTTAACTACTTTCATTAACAAATTGTCGTCTACATTATTACGCGGGTCTATGTCAAATTGTAAATGTTTATACAGAAAATATGTGCATATCATAATAATATATGCACACATCATGAAAATACATCACGAAAATACATAATTTGTATTTAGATAGGCGTGTAAGTATAATTGGATATTAACATTATGATGTACAGTATAAAAATAGCGTTAATTAATAAAATGTTTATATACAAATATTGAATATATATCCTGATAATCTAGTTAGGTACCTTAATAATGTAAATTTATATTTATGTACAGATTGAGATACTATGAGCCGTGAATATAATTAGTCATTCAATAGAAAGCTTTATTTCTAACGGCAGCTCAACATTTTTGATAAGAAAGCTCTGCATCGTGTCAATCGTAGGAGGTGCACACCTGTCAACCTGGGCGATCAATTTGTTTTGCTGGAAAGTCCAGCGTCTACGTTACAAGACCGTCACAACATATACGGCCTCTATTCGCACATTTCGTCACCGATATGAAGTGACCTCGTCGCAAGCCCATATCCATCCACAATCGGTGTTGTTTAACGAAGTAACGATTTTCGAAGCACCTACAGCGCGAGGTCCGTCGTGCGAACAAACACTGAAGCCAGATACGTATCAGACTGACCTATAGCAGATGCAGGCACATTATTGCCTGGTTCTGCAGACGATATTCGATATTTCAGCAAAAGCTCATCTCGTGTCTCTATTTGCTTATAAAATATCCGCGATTGTGGAAATAATTTTACATGAGTTTATATCAAGAAATGTCGTAATTGTTATCTACACATTGATATTTTTCTCGTCGTTCTTTGCCAGTTAAATTTTTCTTGTCATCTTAGCAATAAATTGCATAAATAGATGTCACATCTCTGATAGTGATAAAAGTTCTGCAATTGATGCTTCTCATCGAAATTTCAGAACAGTAGAACAATTTTTATGCAACACGTGCATGGAAAGTGCCCCATTACGCACGCTACACGTGCGTGATAGACCACTTTCCAGGCACTTGCAACATAAAATAGGGTGTGTAAGCCGTGCGTAAAGATGAAAATTCCCGGGTGCGGTTACCGCACTCGCCTTCGGCTCGTGCGTAAACTCCGCACCCGGGAATTTTTATCTTACGGCACTTGTTACACAAATAACTAATCGAATATCTCGTGCATACTAACGATAGTAGCCTTTCAAAATTAGGACGTGGATTGGATAAGTCAAATATAACCGTTCAATATCGAATCGAATGTTCTATATCATACTAACTACAAAGTAACTTTGACTTATCACCTTTAACACCAACCATTTTCGCAGAACCAGAATATTTTTAATATTTCGTACTTTCTAAATTTAAATATATATCCAACATAAGGAACAATTCTATCTATTTCAAATACAGCATTTAATTGCTTACTCGAATTAATTTAAATTATTTGAAACTCACTCAAGTCTAACTTAAAGATAAATATCATATCTTTATATGATGAATATTATAATTATATACATTATTAAGAATGTATTTGTTTAGTAGATGAATATGCGATCTTTAGTTTGTCGTTGGTGTGACTGGATACAGTCTTCGGAAGGTCTTTGAACACACGAACAAATTATGAGGGCACTTTTAACAAACACTTTTATTATAACAGTTAATTATATGTACAGTTTTATAGTTCGGAATACGCACACGATACTTTTATTCGAAAACGTGAGTGAATGCGGCGCACGATCTGTATCGCCTTTTATTTATTCTCGCTCTTACGTCAGACTAACTGTAGACAGGGATGATCGCGAGCACACCACCTCTCAACTCACACGTATTTGTTTCGAAGTTGGGTGTTAGAACCAATGAAATAAGGAGTTGTTATTTTATGCCCATATAGAGACACCGAGATTATTTGTTTACGCTCTAATACAGTCAAACTGTTTTGGTGCGCCGCGGCCGGTTAAGAGGTCGAGGTGCCTCGTGAATTGAAAGATACAGAGTGCTTCTATAAATAAAAGCATTTTTCGTCAAAACATTCTAATAATTTTAATTGCTTCAATGTAAGGTATATAATTGATTTGATGCAAGTTAGAAAATCAATTGAGAATAAATGCGTTTAATATTATATTAAGTATTTTAATCAATGATTGATTCAAATATATCCTAAATGAAATATATTTGAAATATATTCTAATAAATATAAAAAATATTTTTGGAGGCTTATAATAACAAGAGGTATTCGTAAAACAATGTAATGGTTAAAGATTAATTATTTAAAAAACGTTTTATTTCATTAATTTAGATTAAATCAAATTATATCAGAAAAAAATGATTTTCTATTTGTTCACAGCCTTCTAATATAAATAAAAATAGTTTGATAACTACAATTAGTGTTAACTCTCATTAGCTTTAAAAAAATGTGGAAATCTAAATATTTCTTACCTTCATAATCTTTCTCCGTGTAAGACTGATGGGTGATCCGTGCGCCCGGATCTTTCGGGGCCTCATCGTCACCTGTCCCGCCCGGATGGGCGGCCCCGCCAGTGCCGGCTCCCGGCTTCATCCACGGCCTGAAAATAAATTAAACGACGTGAAAATAAATTAAACGTTTGATTTAATTATCGCCGATGGCGACGACGACTCTCCGCGTATGCATCCGCTACAGAACGCAACTTTCTATTATTAGAGCATTAACGAGTTCTCAACCGGCAGAAATATCATCGGGTTCGTTTCTCGTTCGTTTGTGACTTTGTTCGCTTTCCAAGAGAAAGAGAGAAACGTGCCTCTAACGGTAAATTTTCCTCTGGTGAAACACCCAGCTAGTATTTTATTAGTAAAAGCTGACTTGAATTTTGTTGCGAACTTGTCCATTCGATTAATACACGTTGCGAGTTATCTATTCATTTTGGCGACAATGCCAAATGTGTGCACACGAGCGTACATCGACGTAAAATATTTCGTAGGCGTTTGTCCACGACCGTCCACACCAGTTAATAATAATTAAGCTTCCACCGTCGGAGTCACTTTGCACTGCTTCCTCCTCATCTTTCTCCTTCCGCTTTCATGCTATTAAGTTTCATACTATTTATTTCAGTCCTTATATTTAAATGTTTAGCTTTTTTAATGTAGTTTATTTCTATTTCATTTCTATTTCACTTATTTAAATATTTTATTTATCTCTATTAAGAAAAATAAAAATACAAAAAATGTTCTAGTAATTATAGTAATGTATTAAAATACGCAAATTTTTCGATCAGTTATTAATTTTTGTTCTTTCTTAACAAATAATTTAATCTTGTCTCGATATTCAAATTACAACTTATACAATTCTCGAAATACATTACCATCTAATTTTGCATAATTAATTTTGTGATCAAATAATTCCCTGATACAATACTTAGTATGTATGTATATTTTCATTTCGTATTCATAGCATTGTATCTGTTCTCGTTTGCAAATTGTCGCGAAGTAGCTTTTAAGTCTTCTACTGTCTTGCGAGAGAGAGGCATATAAATTTCGACGTTCTCAATGTGCTCTTGCTCGGTAACGAAGATGAATTTAGCACATTTTGCGGTAAATTGTGTCAACGACGTGATTTATTTGATGATATTAATTCATCTTTTAAAAATAATTAGATGATATTTTTGAATATAAATACAATGTCATATAAAAGATAATAAATTAAAGACAAAATTAAATGCTAATTAACGGCAAAAGTTCATTATTCTTAAGTAATAATTAATATAATAAAGAGATGTATAAAAATTTATATATTAGGTAGTACCTAGATACAAAAAAAAATTTCCACTAAAATTATCTCTAGATTTTTTATCAAATGTTCATATCCTTGTATTTAAATAATATCTGTTTTTTTTTTGTTACGTATGCCTTCATTCGAAGTTGCAAGTTTCTTCTTATCGGAGTTTGTTCAATAAACTGATTATTTCCTATTTAACTGATATGATAGTAGTGGTTTTTTATCATTGTGATAGATATGATAGTAGTAGTTTCACAATTGTAGTAGATATCATTTTATATGTAGATATCATTTTATTCTATATGTTATACATTCTATATCACTCCATTTCTGGAATACATAAGAAATCAACTTTTTTCGATACAGAGTAACGTAAAATGAATGCATTAAATCGCTTCGTTTAACAACTACAGTTGACAGTTAACAGTTAACAGATGGTCTTTTAAGAATCTTTTCACAACTTTACACGAAAATGAGAAAAATAAAAAAAATGAAAAAAAAGATATATATAAAAAATTTTTTTGTTTCATGTTTAATCAAACGTAAGACTAAATGTGGATTGATTACAAAACAAAAAATCAAACGGGCACAACAACTGTGCCGCAAGCAACAACGTAGAACTACGTTTACTGTCACTAGTTCACGTTAAAGTATTCAGCGAAGGACAGTTGACGTAGGGCTACGTCGCTGAAAACTTGATCATAAAATAGTGGCAATTGACGTAGCCCTATACGTCAACTGTCCTTCGCTGAATACTTTAACATGAACTAATAGTGACAGTAGACGTAGTTCTACGTTGTTGGTTGCGGCACAGTTATTACTGTGCCCGTTTGATTTTTATTATATTAGCAATTTTTT